TAGGTAGAGGACCTAGCAGGTCGATCCCCCATCTTGCGAACGGAAGGGCCACTGTCATTGGAGTGTAGAAAGTGGCTGGCCGTCCGGGGACCGGTGCGTATAGGTGGCATACTTTACATTTTCTAGTATGTGCAAAGCAGTCTTGTTGGATAGTCAGCCAGTAATACCCTTGCAGGATGATTTTTCTGGCCAGTGTCTTAGGCCCTTGGTGGCTTGAGCAGATACCCTCACGAATTTCTTCCATTACGGTTGCCGCTAGATCGGGTGGGAGGCATTTCACATACGGCCCACCAAACATCTTTTTGTACAACTGTCCGTCCACCAATTCGAACATGGAAGCCTTCCTCTGGATGCATTTTATCTGATAAGCAGAATTTTTATCTTGTGGGAGGGTTCCGTCTTTTAGGTAGTTGGTCATATCTAAGACCCAACTGGGGACGATATAAGATATGGCCTTGATCTGGAGCACCATGATTGCTAGGGTTACCAATGTTTCTCGATGTGCAAACCGTTGGATATGAGCCGGAATCTCCTGTGCCCGATCATCGAGCGCTGCATTTTCTAATTTGGATAAGATGTCTGCTTCAATATTTTCTATCTTGGATATTTGGTCGAGCACCACCTGTTCAAATTTGATTATCTTCTCCTCGACTATCTCTTTGTAAGCCTTCATTCTTTCCTCTTTGGCTTCAGTCGTGCCATTTACTTGATTTACCACCAATTGACTATCCGACCGGACTTTTAACCGATCGGCGCCCAGGGTCTTCGCATATTTTAAACCCGCAATAAGGTCCTCATACTCAGCCTCATTGTTGGTTACTTTGAAGTCAAAATGAATGGAGTAATATGCTTTGAAACCTTCGGGCGATGTGATCACAGCTCCGGCTCCACAACCCTTGGCACTAGCTGCACCATCCACATACATTTCCCACCAGTTATCCAGCACATTGTTCTCTGAATCTATTTCCGAGGGCCGAGCGGTACATTCTGCAATGAAATCTGCCACGGCCTGCTTTTTTATAGTAGGTCGAGGCTTGAAATCCACCTCATATTGCCCGATCAGAAGACACCACTTTGTAATGCGCCCACTTGCCATTGGGTTTCTCAAGATGGTGGTGAGTGGCTGAGTAGTATACACAGTTACCGGATGGGTCTGGAAATATGGTGCTAGACGTTTAATAGCAGCTATCAAGGCCAGTACTGTTTTCTCTAGTAAGGTATACCTGGTTTCCGGACCGTTCAAAGCCTTTCTTACAAAATAGATTGGCCGATGGATGCCATCTTCTTCTTTCAATAATACCGTGCTCACGGCCAGGTCAGCTACAACAAGGTACATATACAGGTGTTCCCCTGGATCGGGTTTTGTCAAGACCAGGGGAGAAGACAGATATGCCTTGAAATCTTCAAAAGCCGTTTGACATTCGGCTGTCCATTCAAAGGGGTTGGCTTTTTTCATGATCTGGAAGAATGGAATAACTCGATCGGCTAGCTTGGATAGGAATCTGCTCAGAGCTGCTAACCGACCGATAAATCTCTGCACTTCCTTGAGGTTTCTAGGAGCCTCCATATCCACAATTGCCTTTACCTTTTCAGGATTGGGCTCAATCCCCTTCTCGCTCATCATGTATCCCAAAAATTTGCCTCCTCTCACAGCAAAAGCACATTTTTTGGGATTCAGCCTCATGTTAGCTTTCTGCATTATCCCGAACACCTTTTCTATGTCCAGGATATGATTCTCCTTCTTCCGGCTTTTGATCAGGATATCATCAACATAAGCTTCCATTATGACTCCTAACACTTCTTTGAACATCATCCCGATCATCCTCTGAAAAGTTGCCATTGCGTTTTTTAATCCGAATGGCATGACAATATAGCAAAACACACCATCCGAAGTAACGAACGTTGTTTTCTCTGCATCATCTGGGTGCATGAAGATCTGATGGTATCCCCGGAATGCATCCATGAAGCTCAATAACTCACATCCGGCCGTTTCATCTACTAGCAGATCGATCCTCGGCACTGGATAAGGGTCCATGGGACAACTTTATTCAGATCCGAGTAATCCACGCACATCCTCCAAGTAGATTGTTTTGGAGCTAGGACCACATTGGATAGCCATTCGACGTGGATTACTGGATGGATGTGTTTTATTCTCAGCAAGGTGGCAACTTCCTGCTTTGTGAAATCCCGCCGTTCGGTTGCTTGATATCATTTCTTTTGCTGGACTGGTTTTGCATCTGGCCGAACGGCAAGCTTGTGACAGATTATCTCTGGGTCAATACCCGGCATATCTTCCGGCCCTCGAGCGAATAATACCTGAAATTTGTTTAGGACAGCAATGACGCCATCCCGGATGTCAGCCTCCAGATCCACCCCGATAGCTACCTTCCGGTTCGGGGGGAAATCCAGGTCAATTTGCTCGAGGAGAGTAGCAAGTTATGAATGTGCCTCGAACTCCGTTCGGTGGGTCTCCACCTCAATACTGTTAACCCGCATTCCACGGGTGTTCATCTGCTTCAGGGCCTCTCTGTAGCATGTTCGGGCTGTCGCCGAATCAGTTCTGGCCACCCCAACCCCGGTGTCCGTGGGGAATTTGATGCACGAGTGGCGGACAGAGGCTATTGCCTCCAAATCTTCCAATCCTGGTCGACCCAAGATGGCATTATGGGCACATTTTATATCCACCACCACGAACGTCATTCGGAGTGATGCCTTGTGCGTTTCATCCCCAATTTCAACTAACAATTGGATGGTCCCCTCAGCCTCGATACAGTTACCGGTGAAGCTTGCCAGTGGGGTTCTTAGATGGGTCAATTGACCTCTCTGTAGGCCCATTTTCTCGAATGATTGTAAATACAACACATTCACACTGCTCCCGGTATCGATCAGTACCCGGCGTATCAAAGCATTGTCAATGCACATGCTCACCACCAATTCATCCATGTGCGGGCTTGGCGAGTTGGGTAAATCAGCTGGCCCGAACGTGATCGGGTCCGTCCTTCCTTTCTTCTAGGGGAGAGTGGAGATGGATCCTACATAAAGACTTCGCTCGAACCTTTTCCGTTCGGCGTTCGAATCCCCTGTTTCCCCGCCCCCAAATATAACCTTGACCTCCATTCGAGGTTTCTTTCCGGGGCCTCCCGAGCCCTCGGGTTCATCCCTGGGGGGAATATATACGTCATTCTGGGGCTGGGCATCACGTTGGGCATCCCGTCGCCAGTTGTTGGGTTTCCTGATCGGTTTTAAAGTGCCTACCGCACTTGGATCCTTACTCACATACTTGCCGAGATGACCCCGTCGAATCAAGTCCTCAATGGCCGTTTGTAGTGCCCTACAGGCGTTGGTGGCATGACCTTTCCTGTTATGATATTTACAAAAAGCAGACTCGTCTGCTCCCATATATTGTTAAGAATCAGTCGGAAGGGGAATGTTGTCCTTCTCGTTCTGATAAATGGTTGCCACGGACAGGACCAGGGGAGTAAATCTCCCTTGCTTAGGAGGGATATCAGCCACTGGGCTAGGACCCAGCCGATCGGCCATCTTGATTGGGGCAGTAGGCGCAGTGACCTTGTCCCTGATCATGATCTCTTCTTCCAGGGCAGCATGCTTGCGAGCTCTGTCTAACACCTCGGCATATGCTGTACCTGGATTCGTCTCCAAATCCTTGTATAACTCTCCCGTTCGGAGAGCGTTCGTGAATAGGGTGATGGCAGTATCATCCGTCATATTTCCAACCGTCAGAGTTTCGTCCCTCCATCTTTTTAGGAATTGATTGAGGGTTTCCTTGGAGTTCTGCTTAACGCTGGTCAGGTAGCTGAAGTGCCGTTTTGGGTTGGCACTGGAAGCAAATTGGGCCAAGAATAACGTCGATAATTCGGCGAAACTGTTGAACGACCCGGGTTGCAGGGTCCCAAACCACTCCTGGGCGGGTCCTCTGAGCGTACTGAAAAACAACCGGCATATAGCAGCCTCAGGTGCTCCTAGTAGCATGAGTCCTCCCTGATAACTCCTTAAATGCACATGGGGATCTCCCACCCCGTCATAAATTTGACCGGCCGGTGGTTTGGCACCTCCTTGGATATCCGCATACATAATTTCCCTGGTGAAAGGGGAAGTAATCCCGAGCTGAATTGGGGCAGGCTGTACGGGCGCCCTATTCATCTGATTTCTCATCTCGTTCATCTGCCTCCTCATTTCAGCCATTTCTTCCTCCTAGGTCGACAAATGGGGCGGTGGTGGAGCCCTCAAATATGTATACTCCCGATCCCAATGCCTTTGAGCAGCCCTAGTATTATTCCGTTCGTCATGCTGGAAATGTCGACCAATAGGAGTAGGTCCCCTGGCTTGTGACCCGATCGGGGTCCGGTCACTGGGAGTATGATGCACTGTTGGTGGAGCGCCACGGCGATTATCCCGATGGGCCTGCGAGCGGGATGACGCTGTGGTCGTTTCTGTGTGTGGAGTTTCCCCTGTAAAATTGGATCCTCCTTCTTCCTCGTTTGCCATGTGCTGCATGACCTGGGCCATATCTCTCTCGCATGGCCTGAGGATTCCTCCTTAGAGATTCAGGAATCACAAAGTCCCCATCAAAATGAGGATATGATCCTCGGCTGGATTGTCCCTGAGGGGTTTGATTTCCCGGGTTGTGACTCCTTCCGTGACGGCCACTACTAGAAAAAAGACTTTTAACAATGAAAAATATTGTCGTTATAGGCTCAAAAATTGGTCGTTAAAGCATTTAACGACCACTTTTTTTTCATCGTCAAGTGGTTGTTATAGCTTCCCTCGTTATTGGTTTTAACGACAAAGTTCATCGTTAATAATTAACGACGACACAAGATCTCGTCGTTACTTATTAACGACAAGAAACTCACTCGTCGTTACATAATAACGACAACATATACAATTCTTCATTGTTATTAAAAAACGACAAGAAATTTTATCATCATTATTATGTATACATTTGTATACACCATTTCTCATCCAATAATAATAACGCTCTTATAATAACAACCACAACCCAAAGAAACACGTTTTAAGGAACTATATATACCGAACTTCTAACCTTCCAATAAGTTTGAACGATCAACAAATATCTTTTACATAGAACAATTATTGTAAGTTGACACCGTAATAATCATCTAGAAAACTAAAATACACAATTGTATAATTGAGAAATTGAATACTAAATCACAAATATGGTAACTGGATGGCACTGCTCCAACTTCTCAAGAACACAACAAGAGTAATACACCACCACATGCAATTTCTCTCTATCTTTGAGTTATAATTCTTCCTGTGTTTCTTCTATTTGGCTATGGTCCAAATGCAACCCTAAAATATTGTTCCTCGAGTTACGTTCAACAAAAGATGAAGATATCAGCTGAAGTTCATACATACAAAAACTCAGAAAAAGAATTTCAATTTTTTATACAAACAGTAAAATAGATGAAAACCAAATTGTATTTAATCAGATTTAACTTGTTTATAAACAAATACTGCAGAGTTGTAGAAACCATAATCGTTCCCAAGTTCATAATCACCTTGTATAGCTAAACAAAAGTCAACACTTGACGTTACACACACAACCAATAAATATGAGATAACATAGAATTCCCTATAATCTGAAAGAACTTCACCTGATGTTTTGCCGCAAAAACAGAGATCTAGAAGCGCATAGTTAGACCAGATTCACCTCCCTGGCATGTAATCATTAAAACATTATTTAGTAATACAATAGATTTAAGAAATTAATCTATAAATTAGTCTAAATACACGTGCCAATCAAATAATCTTATAAAGCATATACATGAGCTTCTTTTCTCAGAATAATACATGATGGCATGCACAACTTTCGAATAATGTAACAAGCACTAATAAATCTATAAAACATGTTAATGCAATAATCTAAATCATATATGTGTCAACAATTACAAAAAGCGTATTCACTCACCAAGAGGAGCAAAAGTGAAAGAAAGATAACCATGACAACATTTAGAACCATTTTGACTCTTTTTATACTTTATTTTACTTTAAACACACTACTTTTACTACTAACCTGTTGAAGGTAAATCCCGTAGATCCGAAAGCCCAACACGAACTTTGGATATATCAGGAATGGTACAGAATCAAAGTGTATAACCAAAATATAAAATATGAACTCACTAATACTCGAAAGCTCACTTGTATTAATTAACCAGTCTGATTACAAGGAAATTCTCGATCGGTAGATCGGAAACAATGCTTTAATATAAGAAATAAGGGCAATAATGCTATTCTAGAGCCTGAGTATTGAAATGCTAACCCTTACAATGATTTTAAACCTTCTATTTATACTAATGGAGAGCATGGGCTGCCCTACGCTGATTGGCTATTATTCCACCGACTTGGTCACCCATGTTTCCACTTGCTGATGTCACAATCGGGCATTAATTGCACCTGGCCACTTTCCGGTTGGCCGTTGCTCGAACGGGATGTTGGGCTTTGCTGAAGACGCTGTCAAATTGGCCCAAGTATAATATATAGCCCGAACTCCGTTCGGTATGTCTTCTTACTGGGCCAACCCTTATTTGGGCCGAATCTCGTTCGGCATGAATTCTTCACGGGATCTACTCATCATAGAGTGATGGGCCCATTGCTTGGTCCGAGTATCTTGGGCCTTCTTGATCCGGGTATTGGGCCTCTGGATCAATATCCCAACACAAGTCCCCCACTTCCGATGTCTCGAACGACAGTGAGTGCATTAGGAAGTATGAATACCAATGTTGCAATTCGCCGAATGGCGATCGGGGTACAGAAGTAGTTAGTTCCCCATGCCGTGATTTGACGGCTGTCGTTTCATTCCCCCATATTCATCATAGTAACCGTCGTTTAGTCTTTTCATTAGACACGCGTTTAGCTTAAATGCTCCTAGTGACGTGTTGCTCCCTGATTGATTCTTGATACGGCGGTTTCAAGGCTATATATTAGCCTTTAACTTCTCAAATCCGGGTTTCGATTCTGCAATTCTCTGCGCCTTGTTGATTTCTGAAATTTCTCGCAGCCTTCGTCGTTCAGGTACTCTTCCTCCCTTGCTTCCTCGCCTCATCCCTGATTCGGTCGAGATGAATTCCCAACAGTGTTCTGATTCGGAAATGGCTTCTCAAGGGGAGGACCGTGATGTGGAGATTATCACCGTCCCTTTTGATGAAGGTTCCAAGGCAACGACGGCGTAGGTTAGGGCGGAGACAGGCGACTCCTCTAGCAGTTCTTCTTCCTCCAGTGAAGATTCCGACGATACCAAATCCGAGGACGAATTAGCTTCCATGGCGGCCGGACGTCCCAACGATTTCCCTCGCCATACCCTTGACCTAAAACTGATTAGGGAGAGGTGGCAAAAACTGACCTCCCACAATAGGGCCGAAATTCCGGCCCTTATCCCTGACCCAGTGAATTTCCGTCTGCAAGCTGGGCTTCACCCAATGCGTCATAGGCCCGGAATGACTGTAGTTCATTTTGACTCAATTAGGGTCGGCCTTAGGTTTCCGCTACATTCTTTTTTCATTTCATTTTTCAATTTCTATGAAGTTGTACCGGCCCAAATCATGCCGAACTCCTATCGGGCCATGGCGGGTTTTATTTGCCGTTGTAAGGATGTCGGTGCCTGACCAACCTTAGAACTCTTCCATCAATTTTTCAAGGTAGCCCCTCAACAAACCCACGGCTATCTGGCCACTAGTGCCCGAATGGGACATATTCTGTTCAAGGGTTCCCCAACTTCAATCAAAGGGTGGAAAGACCGGTTTTTCTTCGTGTCTGTCCCGGACGGCCTAATTCCCCGCAAATGGAATGCCTTCCCCCGAGAGACTCCTGATCCAGTCCTTAGTGAAGAAATTTACAAGGACGTGCTTGCTGTGGAGAAAGATAAATGCATGGACGTCATGAGTTATCTGACTCCCGATCGGCTCGTTGAAGCCGGGATAGGTACTGCCCGTTCTCTTGGGTTTACTTGTTTTGAGAAATCAAGTGCCATGGTCCGGGCGGTCCTTCCCGTGCGAGAAACGTTCTTTTTTCTTTTTTCTAGTTTCTCACATGCTAAGGCCGCTCGATACTAACATTTTCCTTTGTCATTTTTCAGTACCAAATCCAGATCTACCCATGGATAATAGCATAGTTATGGGAGCTGGTGGGGTTGGTAAACGAAAAAAGGCCAGGAAGAACCCCCAACCTACTCCCTCTACTGTTACTGCCTAGGATGCTGGGTCTTCTCAACCGGTTCCAGAGCCACAGCCGATACAGCAGGTCCATCAGGACCAATTCGATGCCATGCTGGTCGATGATCGGTTTGGCTCTGATCAACTGCAGCAATTTCCCGAGCACTTCCAAGCTGCTCAAGAACCCGGCCAGGGTGCGGGTGAGATACCCACCGTCCAGTTATCTGTCCAGGTTGACCGGATTTCCCTGGCGGATCCGGTTCATGATGTTGTAGAAAGAGGTGGCTGTTCAGCAAGCCAGATCTGGTCTACCTCTGCCTTCTTCAACAATTTCACCGTCCCCAAGCTGTCGGTCGAGCAGTCTGAGGAAGGCCTCGCCTTGGCAGCTCTGAAGGTATCTTGTCATTCCATAGTTTCAATCTCTCTTAGTTTACAATTTTCTTTCACCATCTCATTTCCCGAACGTCATTCTGCAGGTTGGGCTTTACAGTCTGCAGCTGAAGGAAGCTCGGTTGGCTAAGGAGAGGGAGCTGATCTTTGCTCAGACTTCCGCGGAGCAGAATGCAGCTGCTGCTTTTGCTGCTCTGGAGGCCGAGCGGAAGGCCTATGCAGAGGACAAAAAGCGTCTTGAATCGGAGCTTGGCGAGCTCCGGGTTCAGTTCGGGGTTTCTCAATCCAAGGTTCATGCTGCCGAAGCTGCCTTGGTAAAATTTGAAGAGCACGCCCCTCGTATCCCAGACGGCCCTGCTGAAATACAGGTTGACCTGTCTGCCGTTCGGGAGTCATTCAAAGGGTCTGAGGAGTTTGCCATCTTGAAAAAAGATTACGCACAGCAGCAACTCCGAGTCACCTTTGGTGATTACCTTGACCATTTCTCCACGGGTGACGCCCGTCGAAGCGAGGGGGTCAAATTGCTCGACCAGGACCCCAGGGGGGAAAAGTTCAATGATTCTCTGGCCCGATCCCTGTACGTCATGGGCTGTCAGCATATCATGGCTCCCTTTGTCGCTAAATTTCAAGAATTACTAGGGAGGCCGGTCGAGCTGGCTGATCTTCCCCAAGCGCCCATAGTTGAAGCTCAATATGAGAAGTATCAAAGGGACTTACAACGGGTTGCTGATCGTGAAGCGGGGAAGGAGCCTGATTGTAATACCCGAGATTAATTTAAGAGGATTAATAGTACTACTCATACCAACAGAGGTGCATCTCCTTTTAAGGGAGCTCATCACCCAAGAACTCCAAAGTTAAGCGTGCTTGCACGGGAGTAGTCTTGGGATGGGTGACCCCCTGGGAAGTTTCTCAGGGCGCGCATGAGTGAGGACAAAGTGCGCGGTAAAGGCTCGTGGTGGTTTGTGGGGACAGTACTAGAGGTCTAGAGTAACTACCTCGGGGCCTGCGAGACCGGGGTGTTACAGGTGGTATCAGAGAAACCCTGTGATAGTGCGTTGACCCATTGGATATCGGGCGGGCACTTAGCGGGGCAAGATTCTGGGGTTTGATTGAGATTGGTTTAAGGGCGCAACGAGGACGTTGTGATCCTAAGTGGGGGTGATTGTAATACCCGAGATTAATTTAAGAGGATTAATAGTACTACTCATACCAACAGAGGTGCATCTCCTTTTAAGGGAGCTCATCACCCAAGAACTCCAAAGTTAAGCGTGCTTGCACGGGAGTAGTCTTAGGATGGGTGACCCCCTGGGAAGTTTCTCAGGGCGCGCATGAGTGAGGACAAAGTGCGCGGTAAAGGCTCGTGGTGGTTTGTGGGGACAGTACTAGAGGTCTAGAGTAACTACCTCGGGGCCTGCGAGACCGGGGTGTTACACTGATCCCCTCACTGATTCGGATGAGGAGGAGGGTGACGAAGAAGACAATGGGGCATGGCAGTAGAGTAGAATCTAGTAGTTTTAGCAACTGTAATCCCTTTCCCCTTTTCCCTCTTTCCTTGCGAACCTTATCTGTATTTCCCGGCCAGTAGAGCCGATGAATATATATCTCTTTTTTTGCATAAAGCTCTCTATATACTGTCTTTCTTGCTTTCATTGAATGATTTACTCGCCATTCGGGCTTCGGTCCGTTTTGTAGTACTTAACGGTTTTCTGACTGTTTTTTACTCAATACTCCTAACATCATATGTTTGCCGCTCTGGCTTCTGTTCATTTTTTAGTACTTGGTAGTTTTTTTTTTCTGGCTTCAGGTCTCTGATAATCTGCCCGCACTTGACTCCCTTCATATGTTGGTAGCCGTTCGGGCTTCAGATGTCTCTGATAATCTGCCCGCACTTGGCTCCCTTCATATGTTGGTAACCGTTCGGGCTTCAGATCAATCTTTAGGACTTAGCAGTTTTTTCTGGCTTCAGGCATCTCAAATAATCTGTCTGTACTTGGCTTCCTTCATATGTTGGTAGCCGTTTGGGCTTCAGATCAATCTTTAGGACTTAGCAGTTTTTTCTGGCTTCAGGCATCTCTGATAATCTGCCCGTACCCCTGATTAATCATAACCACTTAATGCCACATGTTGCTCATGGATTAGGGTTTTGTGCGGCACTTTCCCTATTTATAGAGAGGTGCTTTCCCCTAATTTCTCCTGCTGTTTCCTCATTTTCCTTCTAAGTTCAGAATTCTCTTGCGTATTTTCAAGCTTTCTCTCTCTAGAATTCCCAGAATTCCTCAAGTGATTTTATGTATTACCCTTCTAGCTCAGAATCTGAAGAGATGTCGTTGATTCGCATAGGAAAAACATTTGCTGGTAACAAGGCCGAAGGCTCTTCTTCCCAAACACCTAACTCCGGCAATCCTCTTGCAGGAAAAAACACCGAACAACCACGTGATGATGGATGCCTATCAGGGGATGATGTCCAGGTCTATAATAAGGGAATGCCCGAGCGGCCACCCCGCATTCCCCTACACTTTACTCGCATCCGTAAACAAAAGCAACGTCTCCCTGAAGATGTCGAACGGCAGCTTAGCCAATTATTGCCCCCACCAAGGGAATATTATGCTGGATTCATTCGGCACCCGATGAGGCATCGACCGGGGCACGTGCTAGTGCACCTTGACGCTTTGATTGCTGGGCTTCGCTTCCCTCTCCATTCGTTCATCGTGGAGTTCTTACGCCGGGTTTCTGTACTACCTGCCCAGTTCGTGCCTAGTACCTACCGCATTCTTACAGGGTTCATAATCCGATGCCACGAGTTGAGGATCGCTCCAAGTGTCGACTTATTCCTCCATCACTACTGCTATCAGCCTTATTGGACAACCGGGTACCTGAAGCTGGTAGCTCGTTTCGATCGTCAGTTATTCACAGAAAATCCCACCCCGCCGGCTGACTGGGAGGAGCGTTTTCTGTTTGTTCGGGTAGGTGATTCTCTGCCAATTCCGGATAGGTGGAACGCCTATCCCGTTCGGGATTCTCAGCCCAGGGTAGATGCCGTTCTATGCTCCCAAGCTGAATCTTTGCGGATGGGAGGAACCCGAAGTCTTCGGAGTTTTATCACTACTTCCAACATGTTATCTGCCGGGATTGGTAAGTGTAACAGGGTTTTAACCCGATCGTCCTTCCTTCTTCCAATTTAGCTTCTTATCTCTTACTCTCCTTTTTTGTAGGTGTGATATCCCCCATACCCGTCCGGCGTTCTATATCTGCCGCTACTCTGACGGCTTCTTCTGGAAAAGGCAAGGAGAAAATGATTACCGATCATGCCTCTGCGGAGCAAACCCGAAAAAAGCGCAAGGGGAATGACGGTAACCAATTGATCCCGGTCGACCATGTGGTTGATTTGACCGGGTCGGAGGCTGAACCCAAGAAGTCTATGCCTTCCAAAACAACAACTCCAGCTCTTCCTGACGCACCGATCGATGATCGGATGTTTGTCGAGTTTTCGAACATGGGGCCTAGATCAGAAGGGAGATACCTGTTCGGGCTGATGCCATCTTCCATGTGGTGTCATACAGCGATCAAGATTCCCCCGAGCTTCACGAACTTGACTCACTGGTCGGATCTTTTTGAAGCAGGTCACCAGGAAGCACTCAAGGTACACCTCATTCTGATCCATACCTTCCTATTCTTTATCGATTTATCTTATCTGACTTCCTTTGCAATCTTGTTTTCAGGCCGGCGTATACTATCACAAGGCCTTTCTTGCGGCCGAAAAGGAAATGAAGGCCCTGGCCAGCGATCGGGATGACAGCCAGATCCTTCTTTCCGCCGCTCGGAAATTAGCGGCTGATCTTCAAGAGAACGCCAAGGAAGGTGAGAAGGCAAAACCTGCTCTGGCTGAGATGCAAGAAAAATCCCGACGTCGCGACCGGGAGATTAAAGAACTCCGGGCCAAGGTGCGGGCTGCTGAATCCGTCGGGATCAAATTTGATAAAGCCGTTGGTGACCATCTGCCCGAACCTTATACGGTCAACACTTCCCAGATTGCACATCAATCGATAGTTGATATTCAACGAGGCAAAGGGCTGAATGTCGCTCTGGAGAACACGGCCCGGCAGTTCCTGGGATATCATCTTGGCCAATTCTTACGTGAAAGCGAAGATCCCATCAAGGCAGGGATCGATCTCCTGGACAGCACGCCGGAAGGGAAATATTTCTTGGATGTCCCGACCGAGAAAACTGTGAAGCAAAGTCAGGACCTGCTTTTGGATAGGAACCTCGATTTGATCCTAGAACATTTCCCCAAGTCGTTCGACCCTGATGAATTAGGTTTTGACGATCTGTTCGGGAATACATACGACCGTATTATGGAGCAAAGGTCAAAAGCAGCGCCTGATGATGCAGTGCAGGCAGGGAGCTCTCAACCTCCACCTTCCCCGAACGGCAATCCTTCAGTAGCATAGCCTTGTAATTTTTGCTTTCTTGTCCTTTGTTCTTCTTGTATATTCCGGCTAGTAATGCCGAAGAATAAACTGGGTTTTTCTCTTTAACTGTTGATGTCTTCTGTTTTTTCTTTGATTTTTCTTGTTCACAATCCTTTCTATGTTGCCGAACATCATTCGGCTCATGTATCTTTATATCTGATTCCTTTCCCGATCCCGTTTTGATCCCTTTTCCGTTCGTGATCCACGGGGTCAAAACTCTTAGCTGAGGTGGATTCCTCCAAGCCGTTTTGATCGTGACCACAGGGTCAAACTCTCAGCTGGGACAGGGGCTGTAACACCGACCCCGAGCATATTTACTTTTAGTAAATTATGTAATAAACCTTGAAAGATGATTGAGGAATTTGCGTAATTGTAAACTTTTATTATTTCTTTTACGTGAATAGTAAATTGCACGTGGGGCCCACAGCGGGAATGTGGACCGTCCGATAATTCCCGAACCACATATTATATTCATCTTGGTCTAGATAATATGTATATAGTGGTAGATATCTTATTTGGGCCATAAGAAAGGCATGGTGTTGACCGGTTGGTCAAACGGGGCCCAATTACCGGTATTGGCAATTTAACGGATAACAGCCCGAAATGAGTTTCGGAGACTCCTAAAATTAATGTTGGGGAATATACATCTATTCTAAATGCCCATAATTATTGGGAACGCGTGATATATTTTATCCGGTCCGATAAAATAAAATATGATTAAAACGGACCGAGAAATACAACTTTCGGGGTCGATTGTACACACCGGGACATAATGGGATGACCTCCCACATAAGGGGGGGGGCACCCCACGTTTTTTAGGTGACCAGATTGACAATTTGAGGGGGAGGGGCGTGCATGAGGAAACCTCATGGAGACAAAGTCTACACCCACACATTAACTCCCTTGTCTTACTCCGTCAATCATCCCTCAAATTGATTGAGGAGAAGATATCCCCCCATTCCATTTCACCCGCACAAGCTTAACCTCAAGAGAGAGAGGAAGCTCTGGAGTTGACTTCTACAAACCTCAGCCACAGTTGGAGAAAGCTAGGAGGAAGGAAACCCAAGAGAAACTAAGTTAAAAGAAAGGAGTCGAAATCACCGGAAACCGCCACATATAGGGAGCTGTTCGTAGTTGCAGACTACGAAAGCCACCCGGCTTTGGCCCAGAAATCCAGCTTTTCACTTCCAATCGGCCTAGAACGGGGATTGATCGAGGGGCTTGGCAAAGGCAACTATTTCAGCACTTCATAAGGTGAGGATGGCTGACTATATTGCTTATAATTAGTGAGTTAATTTCATAGGAATGCCTAAAGTAATTAGATGGGATTTTCATGGACTATTAAAGATTAATAATGTCTAAATGAAAATAATATGAATATGAGTAAGTGAAGCATGACATACAAATTTAGAATAATTATGTATGATTATGTGAAATGAATGGAATGGCATGTTAATGGAATTACTAAGATGACATTGTGATAAAATATCCTTTACTTCATGTATGAACTTCATGAATGGATTAAAGTGATATTTTGGATATTGAGATTAAACTATACTTGGGTTGAGAAATCAATGGAAATGAAATGCAATATGGGAAATAGGAACTTGGTATGTTCTAAGGTTATCCTATTAGTATCAAAATACTAGTCGGGGAATTAATATAAATAAATGATGAAATAAATCCTAAGAGGTAGGATTGTGAATAGATATGCCTTAAGTAGTCTCAAGAGATACTTAAAGATGGATGACATGAACACTAAGGAGTGATTAGGGGTAGGCCTAAAGACCACTTCCGGAAATTGATTCTAGGCATAGGACTTGCTTGAGAATTTGATAATGAAAATAAATAGAGTTGGACTCTAGGATGACATGGAGATGTAGTTGGGCCGAGCCCATGCCATGTAATATGAATAGCATGGAAACGTAGTTGGGCCGAGCCCTTGCCATGTATATGTGCCCTCCGTGGAAACGTAGTTGGGCCGAGCCCTTGCCACGAAGTTATGGTTGGTATGGAAACGTAGTTGGGCCGAGCCCTTGCCATACAAATGTTGATATGATACATCGAGTTAGAGGATTGTATAGAGATGTAGTTGGGCCGAGACCATGCTATACAATTGGGGCTCGATGGGACCCCACGGGGTTATCGTGACTCGCGGTCACGGGGGAATGGGAACGGTGAATTCTAAATGAATATGGGCCTACGGGCCGTCTACTTGACTTTATGTAAAGTAAGTACAGTTAAAGGTAAAAAGGGGTAACCGAGGGTTATGGCCTATAATATAATAGTACCCTAAGACGGGGGTCTTGGAAATTAAAACGTTGATTATACTTGGTATAGTTGCTATTGTACTTGTCAAATATTTCCAAGTACTGACCTCCCCTTCACGGGGGAGGCCACCTCACAGTTTCAGGTAGGACTTGAAGGTTGCTACCGGCGCCCGTTGCTTCAGGGATTTCCAAGGGAGAAGACGTGGTTCGTGCTTCTTCTGTTTCCTGTTTTCAAAACAATTATAACAATGCTCATGGATACTATTTTTGAATAACTATTTGGGGGCTTGTATGCCCATGTTCGCCAAAGTGTGGCTAAGACATCTTTATAAAATGCTTCCGCTGTTTTAAATGAATGATTTACATTATGCTTGTTTATGGATGTACTATGTGTGAATGGTATTCAAGACGCCTTGTATAGTATGGATGAGTTGGACTGCGGTTGACTATTCGTACTGTACGGCGGGTTGTTGACGTGTCCGGGTAGGTCCGGGGCGTGACAGGGGCTCCCTCCAAACTGTTAACCCGTTCGTCATTCGGTCATCCGGAATGATCTCATGGGTTAACAAGTTGAGGTGAGACTATCTCCCTCCCAAACCCATAATTCCGATGCATTCCGAACTATTCTCTCTGGCTCGTATCATCCATATTAGAGGTCTGAGGTAACCCTTTTCGAACTGTAAGCAAGGTCACCGGATCGGGTCATTCCTTATTTATAGCTAAAAGGGCGACTCGCTTCCGAATCAAGTTAATGACTGAGGCGAGATTTTTCAAAACCATAGTTCCGATTCCCCGGGCGACAATCCGTACCTTATCCGAACGTCGCTCGGTCAATCCATATCTTACCGTCTTGACACCATCTCCAAGCCGTTTTGATCCCTTTGCCCGTACGTAATTACAGGGTCGACTTTGGCTAAGTTGACGACTCAGCTCCCTCCAAACTGTTAACCCGTTCCTCATTCGGTCATCCGGAATGATTTCGCGTGTTAACAAGCTGAGGTGAGAATCACTGTCCTCAAACTCCAGGCCATTTTGATCCCTTTAACAATGCGTAATTACAGGGTCAAAACTCTAGCTGAAATAATGGCTCCCTCCAAACTGCTAATATGTTCCTCATTCGGTTGTCCAGAACGATTCCCATATTAACCGCTGAGGTGAGACTATCTGAGTGTCAAACTCCAAGCCGTTGGCTGAGAATGACTTTCCTTCCATTCTGTTAACCCGTTCGTCATTCGGTCATCCGGAATGACCGTGTTAACCATGGGCTGATATTTTATGAGCATCAATTCTTCAAGCCGTTTTGATCCCTTTATTCGTTCATAAATCTAGGGTCAAAAACTTCCTTAGCTGAGAATGACTTTCCTTCCATGTTGTTAACCCGTTCCTCATTCGGTCATCCGGAATGATCGTGTTAACAATGGGCTGAGTTTTAGTGGAAGTTATGTCTCCCTCTCTATACATTTTTTTAGTGGTGGCAACAGCCGTTTTTACTGATAAAATTTCCTTAGATATTCCACATTCCAAGTGCCTGCCGGTCGACCTTCGGTATTTTGTAGGCCAAACGTTCCTGAAGCATACTTCTTACATATTTGGTAGGGGCCTTCCCAATTTTGTGCCATTTTTCCACCTTCGAGAGGTTTGCTCTTTTCTCGCTTCCTTAGCACCAGGTCCCCTACTTCGATTGAACGAATTTTGACTTGTTTATCAAAGTATTGATGGATAGTCTACCCGGGGGTATATATCCGAGGGGTTATTGCTGAGAATAACTTAGAGTGAAGTCAGAGCCAGTAAATGTAGAGAGAGAGTGTGTATTATAAATGTGGAGCGTTTTCAGCGTGGTTACAAATGGGGAAATGGGGTGCTATTTATAGTAGCAATAAATGCCGGACAGGGACACGTGTCAAGCGCCCATTGGCCGAGAGCTCACCTCAACTGGTTGGCGTTGGCAGCCGCATGTGGCCGCATTTAATGCGGCTGTTGGATGGGACGTCTTGTACAGGGTACGGTGATCTGTACGCATGTGAGGCGGATATCATGTCGGGAGAGGTGCCCTCGGCTGCAGAGGACTAGCCGAGGGCTCTGAGTGCCGAGGACCCCTGAGTGCCGAGGGCTCCAGGTGCCGAGGGCTACTGTTTTCTGCCGTTTTTCCCCCAGTTTCGTAGTTTGCTCGAGAAACCCGTTCTGTGAGAGTTTCAGCCTTCGGCCAGGGGGCCGAAGACACCCCTGGCGCGTATTGCGGGCTGCTTGGTACTCTGGGCGCTGTGATTTGGGCCTGTTGGGCCTTCTGGGCCTGTTGGGCCTTTACTGGAGTAGTAGGAGTCTATGGGTCGGGGGTTCCCGAGCCATATACTCCATCAGGAGTCCCTCACTCCTTTTGCCGAAAGGTACTTGAGGAAAAAGGAGTAAACTGTGTCTGCCATTTGATGTTGCTCCGTTTGTAGTTTGGTGAGGGGTTCGTTGTTTGCGTGTCCCTGCCGAAGGCAGTCCCTCAGTTACCCACATGTCGGGACTTGAGGGCTTGCTTTGCCGTTTTGTTGGAATTTTTCACCAATTTTGTAATTTAATGATTTTCCCGAGGGGGTCCTCCAGTCCCCCACTCCTTGAGGCACTTGTAAAGTGGTGAAAAGGAGTAGAGTGGTTGCGTTGCTGTTTGTGGGCCGAAGGCTGACACTTTTCGTTTCATTTTGGGGGGATGCCTCGTTAAAAACTCATTAGGAAAAACCCTGTGGGAAAAAATCCTAATGAGGGAAAAAGAGTGCACCGAATTCCCCCAACGATGAATCGAAAATGTGAAACCTTGGTCAAAAATGGAGAATAATGGTAATGCCGAAGGCTCTTCTTTTTCTGAGGACTCATGTGTTGATTAGCCGAAGGCTTGCTGCTGATGTCATGGGGGTGCCGAAGGGGAGCCCCGCAATCTGGGGATCGAGGGCGCGATGGATGAGGGCAGTAGTTGCATTGTCACCGGGGGGTCCCTTGCTTGTTGATTAGTCGGTGATGAGGATATCCGAGGGCTCTCTTTACCTGTGTGCTGTAGACTATCCGTCGATGAGGTATACTCCCCGGGGGCTAACCGGCTCTTACAGTGCTGAGGGGGAATCCCCGAGGGGTGGCCTGATGTGAAGCCTTGGGCTTCTAAAGGAGTGATCCCGAGGGTGTCTGTTATGTGCTGTGTGGGGCACAACCCGGGGGCGTCTCTGGGTAAGTGTACCCGGAGGCTCTCCTTGGTGAAGTGGAGTGAAGTAGAAAACCCGGGGGCTTCCAGAATATAGCCGTTGGAAATATAGCCGTTGGAATATGTAACGTCAGGTTTACAGCCGTTGGGGGGGGGTACACGTGGAGTGTAGCCGTTGGTTGCTCGTGGGCGGGCGTCACCGGTTGGATGAAACGACGGTGTGTAATGATGACGCTTGGCCGGAGGCCCAGTTTTTGGGCCCAAGCCCGGATTTTGGAGTCTATAAATACCCCATGCCAATGCCATTCCCCGCTGTGCGAATTCAGTGTAGCGAAGCTCTGGCCAAAATTTTCTAGAGAGAGAAACTTGCCCTCGGTTGAATCCCCTGTTCTCAAGGTCAGTTCCCCCCTGCCCTTCTCCTTCTAGTTTAGCTGTGCCTTGTGCCCTTAGGTTAGGAGATAGAATTCTCTAGAAAACCTTAGTTCCCCCGAACCCTCGAGCTAGAGTTAGAATGTCGTCCCAGAGTGATTCTCAAGACATCTCGGGGGCGCCCTCGATGGAGGATGAAGTCCTTTCGGATACGGAGTCCTCAAACGAACAGTCCTCGGCCCAGGAGGACGTTGTGATGGCAGTAGAGGTGCAAAAGGAGCTGCTGGCTGAAGTTGAAGTCGAGGGCTTCGAGCAGGAGGTTGAAGACGAAGAGCTGGCCCTCGCCATGCAGGTTGCAGAGGAGGAGGAAGCAAAAGAGAGGACGAGGGTGACCGTGGCCGTCCTCCCCCCTCGGGGTGCTGGTGAGGCCAGTACCTCTCGGCCGCTGAACGCTGTTCCCCTCCGGGTGGCCCCCAGGAAGAAGAAGGCCAAGGCAGCTGCCCCCAAGAAGAAGATCGTTGCTGCTGATCAGGGGAAACCCGTAGATATGCCGGAGGGGTATTCCTGGCTCAATACTGCTGCCTTGGAGATAAAGTCGAAGGCGGACAGGGCGGATCTCTACGTCACGTAGCTACACGTAGGGCCCTCGGCCGTGGTGGTCGAGCCGGGAGTTGACGATGTGCTGTCTCGGGCGCCCGAGGGGTGTATTGCAGTACACGTACTGTCGGTCTCCATGGGCCTTCGGTTCCCTCTGCACCCCTTCCTCCGGGAGTACCTGAGGTTTGTTGGCTTGGTCCCCTGCCAGCTGACACCTAATAGCCACTCCTACGTGGCGGGGTTTTTGAACCTCTGCAGGGACCGAGGGGTGACCCCCAGCCTGGACCTGTTCTTTCAGAGCTTCAACCTCTGCCGGGAGGGTCACGCGAATGCCGAGGGCTTCGCCAATCTGCAGCAGATAGCCCGGTGGAAGCTATTCACGGAAGCGCCCTCATCCAATAAAGGCTGGAAGGAGCGGTGGTGCTATGTCAGAATTGCCGAGAGCCCATTCCCGATGGAACTCCGGGATCGCTTCCTTCGGCATCCGAAGGTTGGAAGCGCCGCTCTCGAGAAAGATGGCCTGGTGATAGCCAAAATCCCGGAGGGTCGCACGAAGCTGGTTTCTATCAAAGACTACACTGCCGATACGGAACTCTACGCCCTCGGCTTTCGGAGATACCGCTTCATCGGGGAAGCGGACGAGAAGTATCTCGTTTTTGCTGAGGCCTTCGGGGGAGCAGGAGGTAGTCTACGAGGGCCCTTGGTTTTCATATCTTAGAACATAGTTTATCTGTTCGTTTTTTTATTCCTTGTGCCTTCGGTTAGTAACCCCTCGATTTTAACCCCATACTATTTTTGCAGGTATCCCAGTGAAGATGATGAACGTCAAAGGCCTTGCGGATCTGAAGAAGAAAAAACCTTCCAAGGGCCCGAGGGGGACGGACGCTGGTGTCCCGAAACCCGCCGATGATTTTTTCAAGAAGCCGGAGGGGCCATCGGCGGGCCCAAGTGCTGACGCGACTGCCTCCGCCAAGAGGAAGGGCACGGGCAGAGATCCCGAGGGCAAGAAGCCCAAGACCGGGGATGCCGGGAAGAAAGCCCCCCCGGTGATTATTGTTGATGATTGCCCCGCCTCCGGGGCGCACGAGGAGATGCCGGTGGCGAAAGTGCCGTCGGGTGTTCAGGGGCCATCCTCCGAGGTCCTTATGGTTTCCCTCCCGGCTGGTACGGCCGTAATGAACGGCACGGCTGACCCGAGGGCGCTTCTGAGAGGCATAACCCTCGAGATTGACAGAGTAGCCCTCGGGGCTGATGAAGATCAAGCCCTCGAGGACAGGATCCTTCGGTCTTCCCTCACGGTAAGTCTTCGATATTTATACTCTTCTTCTTTACTTTGAGCTAGGCAACCGTGTTCGGCCCTGCTAACTCCTTTGTTTTTGTAGACCTGCATTGCCTTCGGGGAGCAAGCCCGGCGGCTAGAAGAGTGGCACCTTCGCTAGGCCGAGCAGGATGCCAAGATGCGGGAGCTCGTCCACCAGAATTCCGATGCCGTCCGGCAGATGGCTATGCTGGAGGAGAGCCTTCGGCAGATGACCCTGCGTGCGGAGGCCGTAGATCGGGGCAGGGCGGAGGCTGAGAGGTCCGCAGCTGAGGCTTTGGAGAGAGCTGCCAGGGAGGCCGAGGCCGCGAAGGTGGAAGCCGTCGAGAGAGCCCGAGGGGACGCCATCTCGGGGTTCTTGGCAGGGGGGTGGCGAGCTGAGGAGCACAAGAAATAGCTATCCTCGGTCGTTGAGTCCTCGGTCGACGAGTGGTGCGACGGGCCTGGAGTGGATTGGGTTTCCCGAAAGGGTAAACAGTATTATGATGGGGGCGAGTTTTTCACCCAAGCCCTCATCTATCGGAGGATGGCTCGCCACTTGAAGATTGAGCCGAGGGACTTCGACCCGGCGGCATATGGGCTTCCCCCTGCAGCCAGACGTCCGCGTTCCTCTCCCCTCCGATGTCGAGAGGCCAGACTTAGAGGATACAGAGCTTATGAAGGAAGCCGAAGGTGAAGATCCTGAGGACGGCCCAGAGGTCACTTCGAAGCCTGCGGAGGGGACGGCCCCCGGGAATGTTGATCTGTAATTTCTTATTTTAACATGTTTTGAACAATCCCTCTGTAATGAATGTTTGAATGCCCTCGGCCTTTGGCCATGCTCTGTAACAAATACATTTGAATCCCTTCTCTTTGATGGATGAATGATTGATGAGTGTTTGCCTTCGGGCTTCGTATATATGGCTTGTTTTCTCTAATTCCTTTCTTCTTGAATGTATGCCTCCGTTTTTCTTGAGTGTATGCCTTCGCCCTTTTTGAATGTATGTCTAGGACTTAGAATATTTTCTAAGTGTTTGAATACGGTTGTAGCCTTCGGCAGTTGGGCACCCTTTGCTGGATATACAACCGAGGGCTCAGCAGTAATTAGGACTTAGAAAATTTTCCTAAGTGTAGCACACCATACGGCCTTCAGATGTTTGTAGTCCAATTGCTGGGTGGTGACTAGGTTGAGAACCCAATGTACAGGACTTAGAAAATTGTTGTAAGTGTAGTGTGTCATGTAGCCTTCGGCTACTGTGGAGCCCCAACTGAAATGTTGATTAGGCCGAGGGGCCAATCTTCAGGACTTAGAAAACTTTCCTCAGCGTTGATTCCTTGTGTACTGTAGCCTTTGATTGATTCCTTGTCGTAGATGTTGAACCTTCGGTCAGTGTGGAGTCTGTCCGAGGGGCAAATATTTTGGAATAGTCCCCCTCGGTTGACTTTTGATGATTTGTAATATATGCCTTCGGTTGTCTGGTGATATATTAGCCTCCGGTTGCCGTCATTTTCCAAAAGTGTGGACTTAGGAAAAGCGTGGAATCCTGTTGTTGTGAAGAAAGCCAATGATGAGTGTGTGCCCTCGGCATACACTTTGAAAAGTTGTAGAGTTTGACTTAGCCAGTTATGTCCCTTGTAATGGGGCAGGGGCCCTCGGTATTTAGTGCATAACAGGTGCCTTCGGTGTTTGTTTGGATTACCGTTTAGTAGACTTTGGATAGTCCAGTCCCTTCGTATTGTTGAAGCCTTCGGTGTTTGTGTGACTGGAGGTGGCCAAGCAGTGGACTTAGCCGTTTCTTGATGATATTTGTTTGAGTAGTATCCTTCGGGAAATAAGAGCCTTCCACTACCGGAGGTGTTCTCGTGGGGAGCCCTCGGCATGTTGTGATCTGTTGGAGTGTACTCTTTGATTTCTCGCTGAGTCTACTCCCTTCACCCCCTCTTTTTTTTTGGCTGGTGGTGAAGGGAAGGCATCAAGAAACTTGGTTTCTTGGTAAGGCTGGGCCTATCAGGAGACCATCAGAATACACCAATGGCTCTCCTCCCTCGGGTTAACCTTCCGAGTTCCGAGGGGATCGAGGGTCGTTTCCTGGGCACAAGATATGGTGGTCTGTAACCTGCCTCCCCTTGGGGGATGGCGCGGAAAGCACCTCATTTTTGAAAGTCGTCCCCTCGGCGCTAGACATAGTCCGTGGCCTGCCACACCCTTGGGGTGGTGGCGCGGGGAGCGTTTCGGTTTGGAAGTCGAATACTGGGCATTTCTCGTGCCTGTCATACCCTTGGGGTGATGACACGGATAGCGTTCCGTTTTTGAAAGTCGAATCCTGGGCATTTCTCATGCCTGTCATACCCTGGGGGTAGTGACGCGCAAAGCGTTTCAAGGAAGGGTTTTCATTTTCACACTAGTTGCAAATGGCCGGGGGCACTACGTGCCGCCAGCACCGATGGTGGCGCCTTCGGTATATGCGTCCTCGTGGGGTACGGCTTTTAGAAACAACACTCGGTGTTAGTCTCGATGTGTAGCCCCCCGGTACTTGGTACCGAGGGGTCTTCTGTAGGAACACTCGGTGTTCTCTTTTGTTGTAGTTGATGGAGGTGCCTACCCTCGGTACTTGGTACCGAAGGGTCTTCAAATGAAACACTTGGTGTTTTGATTGGAGTGTTCGCTCTCGGCGTTTGGTGCCGGAGGGCCCTCGGAGGAAACACTTGGTGTTTCCCAGCAGATGTTTGGAAGTCGATAGGAGAGCATATCCCTGGCACTGGGTGCCGAAGGGTCTTCTTTGAAACATTTGGTGTTTTCCTTCGTTTTGATGTTGATGATGGAGGTGTACCCTCGGCACTGGGTGCCGAAGGGTCTTCTGTAGGAACACTTGGTGTTCTTATCTTTTCTTTTTTGATGTTGAAGGTGGGGATGTACCCTCGGCACTGGGTGCCGAAGGGAAATGAAACACACGGCGTTCCTTGTCGTTGGTGATAGGAGTTCCCACCCTCGGTACTTGGTACCGAGGGGTCTTGTTCGAAAACACATGGTGTTCTCCTGTTGTTGTAGGTGTTGATGGTGTCCGCCCTCGGCACTTGGTGCCGGAGGGGGTTCTTCTCGTGGTGAGGCCTGGGGCCTGTAGTCAGTATGAGGGCTTGGTGTCTCACAAGTGTTTTGTTCTTGATGTCTTGAATGTGTCTTCATTCTTCAAAATTGGAGGCCTTGGGCCATAGGATAGTACATTCACTAGTCATGAGGGCTTGGCCGCTCTTACATTATTGATAAAATTTAACTAAGTGGTGTACATTCCAGTGCCTAGGGACCTCTTTCCCGTTAGGGCGTTTGAGCTTGTAAGTCCCGGGTTTGATGATGGCTGCTATGATGTAGGGGCCTTCGAATTTTGGTGCCATTTTTCCTCCCTCGGTTGGCTGGCTGGCTTCCCTCCTCCGGAGGACATAGTCCTCCTCGATGTAGCCTTTGACTTGCCTTTGGTAGTTTTCTGCCCGGATGAAGGCTTGCTCCCGGCGTTCTGAAATGAGGTGGAGGTCGAGGGCCATGTTGCTGTCGTTGACCTCGGGGTCATATTGGATCACCCTCCGGGTGGGAAGGGTGACTTCCGTAGGAGCTTTGGCTTCAAAACCGTAGCAGAGGGAGAAAGGTGTCTCACCTGTTGCTCACCGAGGGGTGGTGCGGTAGGCCCAAAGGATGTTGTGGAGTTCTTTCACCCAGCCACCGCCCTCGGCCTCCAGCTTCTTTTTTAGGTCCTCGAGCAAGGTCCGGTTGGCATTCTCTACTTGCCCATTGCCTTGAGGGTAGGCAACGGAGGAGAATGTGTGTTTGATGCCCCATGCCTCCAGAAGGGCACAGAAGGGGGCTGCCTCAAATTGTGTCCCATTGTCGGAGATGATCTGCTGGGGGACGCCAAACCTTGTGAGGATGTTCTTGAGGACGACGTGACGGCACTTCGCCTCCGTGATGCTGGCGAGGGGTTCAGCCTCCACCCACTTGGTAAAGTAGTCGATGGCCACAATGATGTATCTGTTGTTGGAGGTACCCCTCGGCAGAGGGCCAACAAGGTCTCTGGAAATGTTAACATGCGGTGCACCTCCGGGCCAGGTCAACACAATCTCTGGCCATGGTTGGCCAGAAGTAGCCCTGGAGAATGAGCCTTCGGGACATGGAGAAGGGTCCCTGGTGAGCTGAGCAAGTGCCACTGTGCACTTCCTCCATTGCGACCTCGGCTGAAGGCACCGAAGTAGCGTGCCGTTGTAAGATCGTTTGTAGAGCCTTCCATCTTCGATGGTGTAGCTAGGAGCCCTCAGCTTTGCCAGTTTAGCGCGGGTCTCATTCTCGGGTAGCTGCCCTGTGGAGATGAAGGCGGTGATATCTGAGATCCAATCCTCTTGGCGTCGTTGTATGTTCATAACAGGGCTTGCATGGATACTTGAGAGGTTGAGTTCCTCAATTTTGGCAATTTTGGAGATGTGCTCGGGGGAGTCGGCCGAGAGCTTAGACAATATGTCAGCCTCGGAGTTCTGAGCCCTCAGTATTTGAGTGAGAGAGTGTGCCTCAAATACCTTAAGCAACTCCTTGGCCGCTTCCTTGTACTGTTTCATTCTTCCCTCCTTGGCCTCATATTCCTCGGAGATTTGGCCAACGACCAACTTGGAGTCGCATTTGATGTGGATCTGCCGAGCCCTCATGTTGGCAGCTAGCCGAAGGCCACATAGGAGGGCCTCATATTCGGCCTCGTTGTTGGAGACTTTGAAGGAGAAGCGGATTGCATAGTAGGCTCTGAAGCCCTCGGTAGTAATGAGGACTACCCCTCCCCCGCAGGCTTTGTTCGCGGATGAGCCGTCGGTGTAGAGGGTCCACCAGTCGTCCGAAGTAGCCGAGGGCTCCCCGTCCGTGGCTGCCCTTGCGGTACACTCTGTCACAAAGTCCGCCAGGGCTTGGCCCTTGATGGCGGGCCTCGGACGGATGTCAATGTTGTAATGGCTCAAGAAGATAGCCCATTTCACCATGCAGGAGGAGCTGGTGGGGCTCCTCATGAGGGCGCCGAGGGGTTGATGAGTGAGGACCTGAACCGGGTGAGCTTGAAAGTAGTGGCCCAACTTCTTGACAGTCCAAACGATGGCTAACACCGTTTTTTCCACAGGGGAGTACCTGAGCTCGGCCTCCCTTAGGGTCTTGCTAACGTAGAAGATGGCATGTGTGATGCCGTCTTCCTCCCGGATGAGCACAGAGCTGATGGCCGCCGGGCTGACCCCAAGGTAGAGGTAGAGGGTCTCCCCTACCTTGGGTTTGGAGAGCACAGGAGGTGAAGATAGATATCGTTTGAGCTCGTCGAAAGCCTCCTGGCATTCTGAAGTCCACTGAAAACCAGCCGTCTTCCTCATGATTTGGAAGAATGGTAAAGTCTTCTCTGCTGATTTAGATAGAAAGCGGTTGAGGGCTGCCAGGCGGCCCGTCAACCGTTGAACTTCCTTCACATTGCGTGGGGGTTCCATGTCGATGATGGCCTGGATCTTCTCGGGAATGGCCTTAATACCCCTTCGGTTCACCATGTAGCCCAAGAATTTGCCCCCTTGGACGCCGAAGGTGCACTTCTTCGGGTTTAACCGAAGGTTGAATTTTTGCATGATGGCGAAGATTTCCCGGAGGTCATTGGCATGGCTGGAAAATTGTTTGCTCTTGACGATCATGTCGTCAACATAGGCCTCCATGGTGCGCCCTAGGACGGCTTGAAAGACCCGGCCGGGCCACCATCCGGGTGTAGGTGGCCCCCGAGTTCTTTAGGCCGAAGGCCATTACCAGGTAGCAGAAGATGCCCTCGGGAGTCATGAAGGCAGTTTTTTCTGCGTCCTCCTCGTGCATGAAAATTTGGTGATACCCTCGGAAGGCATCGAGGAAGGACATGATCTCACACCCTACGGTCTCATCCACCAGTTGATCAATATTCGGTAGAGGGAATGGATCCATAGGGCACGCCTTGTTGAGATCGGTGTAGTCCACACACATGCGGAAGGTCGGGGGCTTCTGTGCGAGGACTACGTTGGCCAGCCATGAGGGGTATTTCACCTCCTTGATGTGCTTAATTGAGAGGAGCATGGCGACCTCCTTCTTCACAAATTCCCTCCTCTCGGCGGAGAGTGGTCTTCTTCGTTGCTGCACTGCTTTTGCCGAGGGGTCCACCGAGAGGCGGTGGGTGATGACCCTTCGGCTTATTCCCGGCATGTCCTCCGGCCCCCACGCAAAGACAGTGGAGTAGGCGCGGAGGGCGTCGGTGATACCGGTCTTCAGATCTTCAGGGAGCTGGGCTCCAATCTTCACGACTCTCTCCGGCTGGGCCGGATCGAGCGCAAAGTCTTCTACGTCCTCGGCTGGTTCAGCCCTCGGCCTTTTTTCTTCTTGGTCGATGGTTCCGGTGATGGTGTCAACACGGAATTCCGTCTTACTTACCTTCTTAGTGACTTGAAGATAGCAGGCGCGGGCGATTTTCTGATTCCCCCGGGAGTAGCCAATGCCCCCCTTGGCGGGAAACTTGAGGCAGAGGTGCCTCATGGAGATGATGGCCTCGAGGTCCTCGAGGGCTGGCCGGCCGAGAATGATGTTGTGGGCGCAGTCGATGTTGACGACGACAAACTCCACTTCGAGCTGGGCTCTATGGAGCCCGTCGCCGAAGATCACCGGGAGGGTTATTACCCCCTCGGAATCAATAGTATCGCCGGTGAAGCCGGCAAGAGGGGTCTTAATGGGCCGAAGAGACCCCCTCTCCAGATGCAGCTCTCTGAAGGTGCTGAGGTACATTACATTGACGGAGCTGCCCGTGTCAATGTAAGTTCGGTGAATGATGGTGTCGTCTATTTCAGTCCGAATCACCAAGGCATCCCTGTGAGGAGGAGAAGTAGGAGGGAGATCTGCGTTGGTGAAGGTGATGGGTTCCTCCTTCAGTCGCTTTACCGGGGGCATATGAGTGACTTCCCCCACGTAAAGCGATTGAGCCCACTTCTTTCGCTGGCTGGTGGAATCGCCCCCTGTATTGCCACCGGTGATCATGAGGATGTGGCGTTTTTTCTCCTGGTAGTGGGGGTACTCCTCCTCTTCTTCTTCCAAGTTTCCGATCTCCCTCTTCTTGCCGAGGGGGATGGTGTTCGGGTTTACCCAAGCGTTTACCTTCGTGTGGTGCCCTCGGGGAGGTCCCTGATGAGAAGGTCCCTCCTGCCGAGGGCTCTGAACAAATTGGGACAGGTGCCCCGCTTGTATCAACCTCTCGATGGCCGTCTTTAGCTGATGGCAGTCATCGGTTCTGTGCCCCTGGTGCTGATGGAAGCGACAGTATGGGAACAGGGGGTTGATAGCATTTACCTCCGGGGGTGCGCGGGAATCGCGCTCAACGAGGCCCCTCTCCTCGGCAAAATCAAGGATGATGCTGACGGGGTGCGTCAATGGTGTTCGAGGGCGGTCCAGGAGAATGGGCTGTGCCCAAGTCTTAGGGCTACTCTTATAGCCTCCCCCGGGCTTGGCTTGGCCTTGCCGAGGGCGGTCATCAGAGGGTCTTGAAGCCTTGGGATGATTTGGAGGAGCCCCCGGCCCTCGGTAATTTTTGTTGTCAGCCCTCGGGGGCTGCTGATCTGGATGCTGGTGATATTTCTCCACCTCCTCGGCCTCAGCATATCGGTCCCCCCGCTGCAAAGCCCTTATGTAGTCGCGGGGGGGGGGGGGGGTTCAATGATGAGGCTCCTTGAAAAGTTGCCGGTTCGGAGGACGGTCTGTAGGAGGGCAAGGAGAGTCCCGTCATCAGCCCCGTCGACTTTGTCGGCCTCCGTCCTCCAGCGCTCCAGGAAGTCCCAAAGGGTCTCATCCCTCTTCTGGCGTATGGTTAGGAGGTGGGAGAAGTGCTTCCTCGTGCGACGCCTCCCGGCAAATTGTGTTAAGAATCGCTGGGCGAGTTCTTGCCACGAATCAATGCAGCCCTCGGGCAACCGGTTGAACCATTCGTACGCCGGCCCCTCTAAGGAGGAGAGGAACCAGCGACACAAATATTCGTCCGATGCCCCCACCATCATCATGCTGTTCTGATATTTGCTGTAGTGTTCCTGGGGGTCCGTCTTCCTGTTAGTCCCTGTTTCTGTAACAGCAATGAATAATCGATCTAACAAGGAAGATTAAACGTAAAGATAAACACAGAATGAATCACCGTAAAACCTTCTTTGATAAACCGTGGAACGTACAGCAGAATGATAAGCGTAAGGCTATGAATAATAAGTACGACGTTCAGCCTTTTCCTAAACCTCGGCTCCCTTTTTATAGGCGAGGTTTAGGTTAGGCGTACAAGGCTTTTGGCCTGTTTAAATGGGCCTAACACTTGGCCTGATTTCTATCTAATTTATGCACTATTTAAATACAAGGATTAAATATAAAGCTAATCTATGACCAACTTGATTCACAATTAAATATTTCCAACAATCTCCCCCCTTTATGATCAAGTGCCATTCTCTTATTGCTTCTGTGATTTGAAGTAGTGCTTCCTCAAACCAAGTGCATGTTCATACTGCCTCAGCACATTTCTCTTTTCGAGGCGATCGTCAATGACCTTTAAAATTGTCTCTACAGTAGAGTGTTCCTTTTGAACATAAGACGATGCCTTTTGAAGATTTTCTTCCAGCTTTGCCTTCATCTGTAGAATCTGCTCTCTGATTATCTTCAGTGTTCCGTCGCAGTACTTCTCGATTTCACTGACTACCATCAGACGCTTTTCATTCTTGTGGTTCAGATAGGTGACTGCTGGCGGTGTGAAGAAGATGTGGTAGGCTGGGAAATCTTCAAGTTCTGGACCATACAGTTTTGGCTTTGTCAGATTTGTCTTCTTCAGATTGCATTCAATAGCCATCTGTAGATCATGTGAAGAATGTACTCGGATCTGTCTAAGCATGAATCTCTTGACAGCTGCGAGGCCTTCGCTGTATACTATGCTCTGCCTGACTGGAAGGTATCTGTAGGCCATGAGCATTTGGTAGATGTCATCCGGTTTCAGCATGATGAAGTCGTTCTCTTGATAAGTGAATTCGCTCCCATCGGTGCGTTGAAGTCTGTAAGTGTAGAATGTTACTCCATGATAGTCTTCAGCCTTCACTTGTAGAATTTGATGAATCGGGAGAATATTCGACTTCAGATCTTGTTCCATTAATTCTCTCTGTGTACCGGTTGACCTTTGCAGCAACATATGCAGATGACCTCCAGCCTGCTTTCCTTTTAAGTGAGTAAGGCCTCTTAGCTTTAGTTCGTTCAGTGGCTTGACTTTGTCTGGTCTACGCCAGATATGCTTTCTGATTTCTTCTCGGAAGGGGGCTTTGATACGAACATTATCCCAGGGTTTCTCTGTCTTGGGAAATCTTCCCGCTGTTTGTCTTACGACTGATTCAAGAGTCTTCTGGGATTCCTTGTAATTCTCCCCTTCCTTGCGTTCATCGTCCTCGAGCCGTATAATATCTTCAGAGCATTTGTTGATCAGCTCTCGTAGCCACCAGTTTCTTTGCATGTCCTCTTGCTCGGCTTCAACCCGAAGATCATCCCATTCTGTCCATTTTCTTGGCCATTTGTCGTATATCACCGCCTCCTCCAGTGCATCATGGATGTCTTTGCCTGGGGGGATGTATGGAACTCTTTGCTGCTTTTGAGGCGGTGATTGTTCCTTGGTAGCACTACCGGGTTCACTTGGATTGCCCGTTGACATCAGCTTAGAACTAGGTTCCAACTGATGGCCTGATGTGAAGGATGTACCAGTGGTAGCATCATCAGGACTTCCATCCCCTCCTCGAACAGTATCTCTGGGAGATACGCCTCGGGATGTTTTGTCTAGCTCGACCATGCTAGAGAGATAGGCTTGGTTTTGGCAAGGGGAGGGTGGTGGTTGGTTGATGAAAGTCTCAGGTTGTTCGGTTTGGGGGCTATGAGTGGTAGAGGCACCTTGCTCGAGTATCCGTGGCCTCTTGTTCTCCCCCTCATGAGGTTCCGGATCATCGGGATCCTCATGTGAACGTTTGCGACCACGGGGACTTTCACGGCAGGTGCCCTTGGTGTCCGGATTAGCGAGAAGGGTAGTAAGGACGCCTTGCTGGTAGGGAGTGAGGTCAGTGTGGGGTATGTTTAGGAGATGATCCAGCAAGATCGATGCCAGGACTTCGAAGGGTTGGGATAGTAGTTCGATGGGAGGTGTGGTCGGGTGTGGGGATGATACTTGTTCTGTATCATGGGTTCCCCGAGAAGAGATAGGGCTATGGACTTTGGTGGAGGTGGCGGAGATGACTGGAGAGGTTTGAGATTTGGAGTGAGAAGGTGATGGGTGTGGTTCAGGCTGGTTGTGTTCACTATGCACTGCCGGGGTGGTCTTGGATTCTTGTGCCCAAGCGGTGAATGCTTGTTGCACCCATGGCTTAATGGTGGAATCCAAGAAACGGTGCATAAGAACGGTGACGTCTTCGGTAGTGAGGTGTTCAGTTACAGGGGTTGTAACTGTTGTCACAGCATCAGTGAAGAGAGCTGATGTGTGGCCTGCATTCAATGATGGAGTCATTGTGGGTGTAGCAGGGCTTCCGACCGTCATCGTTGGTACTCTGGTCGTTGCTTCCAGAGTGCGTGCACCTGTATGTGCGGTGAATAGTGTAGGTGTCCTAGAAAAATTAGAAAATGTAGGGAGTGTGACACCTAGACTCGATGTGCTCAAGGAAGTGGTGGTGACCTCGGGCTGTTGGCCACTAATTCGCTCGACTGGTTCGGAGGGAACCAGAGAGGTGGGTGAGTCCCGCTGTTTTGAAAAAATAGCCTGTTGGGAGGCTATCGAGTGGCTGGGAGAAGGCTGTGCTTGCGCAGTTGAGCCAGATGCTGCGACTTCTACCCGGGAACCGAAAAGATCGGCTCTTGTACTTAAAGATTCAGCTCGGCTTATATTAATGAAGGATTGACAATCGGCGAAGATATGCATTTCGTCCTCGTCAACAAGGTGTCTTTTGACGAGGCTTCGCTTCTTGGAGTTGAGTGACTGTGGAGCATCATTTTTCGCTTTGATGCGCTGCTCCCTGACGATGCCGGTAGCACTTGCTATATTGTGACTGGCCGCCGTGGTTTTGATGACGAGCTCTTTGGGGCGTGTAGCAATAACGGGGGCTGCATCCTCAGCGGTGATTTTCTTCGGAGGAGATTCAATAGGCAGCTTAACCTTTTGGATGAGAGCAAAAGTGTGGTCCACATCGTCAACATCATCGTCATCATCATCATCATCGTTGTCACTTCTGGCCACGCTATCGGAAGCCTCGTCGTCAGCCTCTTTGTGGGCCGAGCTGAGCGAGTCATCAGCAGATTCCTCAGCGTTCGTCGGTTTGCCCTCAGTTGTCCGAGTCCTCTCGAGAGATTCATCGGACTCTCCTTCATCGGGCTGACGTGCCACTGGCTTCTGTGGCTTTGGGGCGCTCTTGGGACCCTTACTTACACTCAGTTTAGTCCCCTGGGTAGGTCCAGCTGGGTTTTGCTGAACCATAGGGACTGTTCTTTCAAGGTTCTCCTTGTATGCGACGATGATTGGATTTGACTGATTTGCCAGGTTGAGCAGAGCATCTGGAATTCGCAGGCCCTGAGCTGCTTTCTTATCAGCTTTGAAGTATTGGAGCTTTGGAGCTATGAAGTGTGGATCATCAGTACGTCTAGGAATGTATGTGTTTGCTGTCATGCAGTCATGGATGATCAGCCCCAACCACCTGGCGTATGGAATGGTGCCTGACCTGTTTTTCTCTTTGGCTTTTACCAGGTCCATTAGCTCTGAGAAGAAGAGCTGAGCCATGTCATACTTCTTGTTATATGCGATGCCGTGGAAGACGCAGAGTATTTGCTTGTTGCATTTGTCCAGTCCGACATGCTTTGGAGAGAGGCACTTGTTGACTAGCCCGAATAGGCTCTTCCAGGGACGATAAAGGTATGCTCCATTGAAGTTTGACAGTTTTGGTAGTAGAGAGTCATAACCCAGAGCCGCGACATCTTTGAGAAGATCCGGAATAGAAGGAAGAGGATCGTAGCTGTCATGTTCGGGGAGCGCCAGTGTAGAGCGTAGAGTTGCTGGAGTCAGGACAATCCTCATGTTGTTGAGCTTTGTGAGGATTTTAGTGCGGTCTTTTGTTGACTCGGTGCGCATATGTCCCCATACTTGTTGGAGGTAGATTTCTGGCACCGACTTTGATTTGTGGAAGGCGGTCCAGAGATAGTGGCGCTTCAGAATCCCGGGGATGACTGGATCCTGACACTTGAAAACAGTCAGATCCAGCTGGAAGTTGTTGTCCAGCACCTTGACCCACCTATCTTGTGGGTAGATGGCGTCGTCAATGTTATGTCTCTTTTGTGTACCTGCCATAATGAGCTGTGGAAAACATGGGTCAGTGCAAAAGTCCATTTTTATTTTTGTGGTTTCCTGAAATCAGATGAATTGTTGTTTGGTTTGGTTTTGAAAAATGAGGTGCAGGTGGTGGTCAAAATCGGCTAAGGCAAAAGCTTGAAAATCGTATCTCTAGGTTTAAATCTCGAGATCTCAATCTTGAATTTTAAACGCGAGATCTCAATCTCGAGTTTTAAATCTCGAGATCTCAATCTCGAAATTTAAACGCGAGATCTCAATCTCGAGTTTTAAATCTCGAGATCTCAATCTCGAGTTTTAAATCTCGAGAACTCAATCTCGAGTTTTTAAAACACGAGATCTCAATTCTCGAGTTTTAAAACGCGAGATCTCAATCTCGAGTTTTAAAACACGAGATCTCAATTCTCGAGTTTTAAAACGCGAGATCTCAATCTCGAGTTTTAAATCTCGAGATCGGGATCTCGAGTTTTAAATCTCGAGATCTCGTTACGAAGTTCAAACGACGAGATCGAGATCCTGAGCTTTAAAACTAAAGAAATCGAGACGTTTTGCCTTTCGACCGAAGACGAAACCACCTGCAATCAAACAAAAACACATATAATCACAAGAAAAACACAGTTCCGAGTTCATTGTTCGTTTGCGAGATATGGCGAAACAAAGTCAAGAAAGTTCCTTTGTTTTGATTTGAGACGAGGTTCGAAAACCATTTAGTGAAGTACGATGAAACAGAATATCGACTACCTTTAACTTGGAAGCGAGAGGAGGGAGATTGATTTTGGGAGTGAAAGATCTCGAGAACTCTAAGAAGGCAGAGACGGTAATGAAAAGCCTCAGGGTTCTCGGGACCCTTTTATAGACGAAAAATGGGCTTGCGAAACAGTTTGATAGTATGGCCCGAAAACAGAGAACTGGGTTTAAAAAAGCTTTTTGAAAAATTTGGCCCTCAAGAGAAAAAAAATTCTCCCCCTCGATTTGGATACCCCAAAAAAAAACACACACATGCAACACACACTAGGTACAGAATGCGACGCACACACACTATTTTTTGTTATTTTTTATTTTCTCCCCCTCAACACATGCAACGCACACACACTATTTTTTGTTATTTTTCTGGTTTTCTCCCCCTCAACACATGCAACGCACACACACTATTTACAAATCCCACACACACACACACTTTTTAGATCAGTGAAGACATAATTAAACGGGCTCGAGGTTCAACATGCCCAACTTGGAGACTAGGAACTGGAATCGTTTTTCATCCAATGCCTTAGTGAAAAAGTCAGCCAGTTGAAGCTCTGAGCTTACAAAATACATGTCAATGTCTCCTTTCTCCACATGATCCTTGATGAAATGATAGCGCAGGTCGATGTGTTTGGTGCGGGAGTGATGAACCGGGTTGCTGGTGATGGCTATGGCGCTTTGTGAGTCACTGTAGATCGGGATATGGCGGAGAGTGTAACCGTAGTCCTTTAGCTGGGTCTTCATCCATAATATTTGTGAACAACAGCTAGCAACCGCGACGTATTCTGCCTCGGCCGTAGATGTTGACACACAGTTCTGTTTCTTGGAAGACCAGCAGACTAACTTATCGCCCAAGAATTGGACTGCCCCCGATGTGCTTTTGCGGTCCATCCGGCAACCAGCAAAGTCAGCATCCGAGTATCCGACTAGGTCAAAACCTGAGTGCTTGGGATACCAAAGGCCTAGATTCACAGTGCCTTTGAGGTATCTCAGAATTCTTCGAACAGCGGTCAGATGGGATTCCTTCGGATTTGCCTGAAAGCGTGCACATAAGCATGTGGAGAAAACAATGTCAGGCCTGCTTGATGTGAGATATAGCAAAGATCCAATGATGGCCCTGTAGTTTGTAGCATCAACTGGCTTCCCGGAGGGGTCTGAGTCCAGTTTGTTGTTTGGAGACATGGGGGTCGTCATGGAAGATTTGCCATCAATGTTGAATCTCTTAAGCATTTCCAGAATATACTTTGACTGATTGATGAAAATGCCGTCAGAGAGTTGTCTTACTTGCAGGCCTAGGAAGAAATTCAGTTCTCCCATCATGCTCATCTCGAACTTGGTTTTCATCAGTTTCTCAAAGTGTTTGCACAGACGTGGATTAGAGGAGGCGAAGATAATGTCATCAACATAGATCTGAATCAGGATGATGTCAGACTTCTGTCGCTTGATGAAAAGTGTGGTATCAATCTTCCCTTTTGAGAAACCTGTATCAACCAGAAATTCGGTTAATGCATCATACCAAGCTCTTGGTGCCTGTTTTAATCCATACAGAGCTTTCTTTAGCTTGTACACATGGTCGGGATATTTGGGATCTACGAATCCTTCGGGCTGAGCGACATAGACTTCTTCTTCCAAGACTCCATTCAGAAAGGCAGTCTTGACGTCCATTTGAAAGACAGTAAAGTTCTTGTGGGCCGCGTACGCAAGAAAAAGGCGGATTGCTTCAATTCTTGCTACGGGTGCAAATGTTTCATCATAGTCTATGCCCTCTTGCTGATTATATCCTTTAGCGACCAGTCGTGCCTTGTTGCGTATCACTATGCCTTCTTCGTCCTTCTTGTTCTTGAACACCCATTTAGTGCCAATGATGGTTTTCTGAGGGGGTTTAGGCACGAGTGTCCACACATCTAGTCTGTCAAACTGATTGAGCTCATCTTGCATGGCAATCACCCAATCTGGATCAGCGAGTGCCTCTGAGACTTTGGATGGTTCATTCTTGCTTAGAAAGCATGCATAGTGACATTCATTTGTTGTTGCTGATCTTGTTCGCACACCTTGACTTGGATCACCTATTATTTGTTCAACAGGATGTGCTTTCGTCCACTTCCTCTCATGAGCTAGAGGAGTTGGAGTAATTATTGGTTGATCCGAGTCCTGATATGAGCTTGAAGGCTCTGGGGCAGCTGTGGTGTGTAGTGGAGATGATTCCGGACTTATGGCAAAGCCGTGATCATCCACACCTCTGGGATTGGTTGGAGGGGTTGAGGGTGTGGATGGTACGTCATCTGGTCCTGTGAGGAGCGGAATCTCTGCTGTTGGAGTTGATGTTGACTCTGGAGTGTATGCAGGAGGTGGAGATTGTGAGTTCTCGTAAAAGTTTCTGAAGAGAGAGTCGAGAATCACATCGTCGTGTTCGGTGTTTGGTTCAGCTTTATCATAAGCTACTGGTACAGCAGTGGATGGATCGGTCTGGAGATGTTCAATAGCAAAGTCTGCCATTTCATAGAATGTAACGTTTACACTCTCGATGACAGTCCGCTTGTCTCTGAGATAGACTCGGTAAGCTTTGGATTGCAGTGGGTAGCCAATGAACACGCCTTCCCTGGCTTTGGGATCCAGCTTACTTCTCTCTGTCCGATCATTGAGTATGAAGCACTTGCAGGCAAAAACCTTGAGGAAAGAAATATCAGGAGTTTTGTTGAATAGGATCTCATATGGAGTCTTGTCGAAGCGCTTGTGGATGAAGGTTCTGTTCTGAGTGAAGCACGCAGTATTGATTGCCTCTGCCCACATGAAGTGAGGCAGTCTTGATTGAATTAACATGGTGCGTGCTGCTTCAACAAGGGTTCTGTTCTTTCTCTCAACAACTCCATTCTGCTGGGGAGTTTTAGCTGCTGCAAATTGCTGAGTGATACCGAGTGATTCATAGAACTCAGTGAGAGTCTGATTTTTAAACTCGGTACCATTGTCAATTCTCACAATTCGAACACTGTGTTGTAGCAGTTTCTGGATCGTTCTGATAAAGGTCATAATATTTTCTGCAGCTTCGTCTTTTGATCGGAGAAATTTTGTCCATGTATACCTAGAGAAGTCATCAACGATCACCAGAGTGTATTTGCGACCGTTGATGCTTTGTACTCTCATAGGTCCACACAGATCCATGTGTATTAGCTGCAACTGATGAGTAGATGAAGGTTCGGTTTTTGACTTGTGGGAGCTTCGCGTCATTTTGCCCATTTTGCAGGCACTACAGTGATTTTCAGCGGAAGACTTTAGCAGAGGAAGCCCCTTGACAAGTTTCTTGGAGGACAAGGTTGATAGATGTTTGAAGTTCAGATGGGAGAGACGTTTGTACCATAGGTTGTTCTGTTCAGTTGAAGCTTTGGACAGCAGACAGATGGAAGTGGTGGATTGGACGCTTTTCAGATCAATAGTGTACATATTTGATGTTCTGTAACACGTTAATAATGTATTCCCTGTGCTGTCAAGAACACAGCATTGTTTTGCAAAGAACCTCACTTCCATCCCGCTGTCACAGAATTGTCCAATGCTCAGTAAGTTGTGTTTGAGCCCTTTGACGAAAGAAACATCTTTTATTGTGACACTGGCACAGACGACGTCCCCATACCCAAGGATAGGAGATGAGGCGTCATTCCCGAATCTGACATTTCCTCCGTAGCAGTTGGTGTAGTTTCTCAAAAGGTGCTTTATTCCGGTCATGTGGGTTGAGCATCCTGAGTCTAAGTGCCACACATGACCGTCCTGCAAAACAATCAAATAGGTTTAGGTACCCAACTTGGAGTGGGTCCTTCCTTATTATCAAGAAACACCTTTTTAAATCTTGCTTTGAGCAGTGATCCAAGGTCAGCTGCTCTTTCAACAAAAGATCTATCTTTGATGGGCTTTCCAATAGCCAGATCTGCTTTTGCAGTGTGTCTGGTTTTTGGAGTCCACCTAGCAATTTCCATTTTGGTGGGTCTGATGTTGTGACCCCACCTTTCCATTTTAGTCCTTATGGGTCTAAGTTTGGGGACCCACCTTTCAGTTGCGGTTATGATGGGTCTTCGATTGGGAACCCACCTTTCAGTTTCAGTTTGGATGGGTCTTCGTTTGGGGACCCACCTATCTGTTTTAGTTTTGGTAGGTCTCATCTTTGGGACCCACCTATCTGTTTCAGTTTTGGTAGGTCTTATCTTGGGGACCCACCTCTCAGTTTCAGTTTTGACGGGTCTTATCTTGGGGACCCATCTTTTCATTTTAGGTTCAGGAGGAGAGTAGACAGGTGCTTTGTGATTGAACGGTTGTTTCTTAAGTTTGGTTTTGAAAATCTCCTCCTTAGAAAGCCGATTAATATGTTTCCTAGAATGAACTCTAAGGGCATATTTCATATCAGGAATACAAAACGTTCCCTTAGAAGTTCCTTTCTTGGTTTCTTTTTCAGGTTTAAGCTTTCTGGAAGGCTTAGATTTAACAGCATTCATATCACATTCAT